ACATTTTGTTACCATGTGGATGAGGGAAAAAAAATCCCCAGCCAGGGCCACTGTCTGTGTGAAGTCTGCATGTTCCCCCACGTCTTCATGGGCTTTCTCTGGGTGCCCGGTTTCTTCCCACATCCCAAAGATGTGCATGTTAGGTGTGTCTAGATTGTCCTAGTAAGAGTAAGTGTGAGCCGGGCTCGGTGGCTCAGCCTGTAATCCTGTGCCTTTAGGAGGCTGAGGTGAGTGGATTGCCTGAGCCCATGGGTTCGAGACCCGCCTGGGCAACTTGGCGAGACTTCATCTCTACAAAAAATCAAAAAATCAGTCGGGCGTGGTAGCACGCGCCTATAGTTCCAGCTACTTGGAAGGCTGAGGTGGAAAGATCGCCAGAGCCCAGCAGGTCGAGGCAGCGGTGGCCGGGAGCGGCCACTGCACTCCAGTCTGGGCGACAGAGTAAGACTCCAACTCAAAAAAAAGAAAAAAGAATAAGTGTGGGTGTGGGTGTGAGTGCCATGTGACAGAAGGGCGTCCTGCCAGGGCTGGGTTCTGCCTTGTGCCCAGGGCTGCCAGAACAGGCTCCAGTCATCCACAACCCTGAAGTGGAATAATTGGGTAATTATCTTACTTTTAGTTAATCTTTCTTAAATGTACATATAGCTCGCATTTACTTAAATGTTTCCTATTAGAAGGGTTTTGGGAGCCGGGCTCGGTGGCTCAGCCTGTAATCCCGCGCCTTTGGGAGGCTGAGGTGAGTGGATTGCCTGAGTCCGCGGGTTCGAGACCCGCCTGGGCAGCGAGACCTCATCTCTACAATAAATCAAAAAATCAGCCGGGCGTGTAGCGCATGCCTGTAATTCCGGCTACTTGGAAGGCTGAGGCAGAAGAATCACCGGAGCCCAGCAGGTCGAGGCTGCAGTGGCCGGGAGCAGCCACTGCACTCCAGTCTGGGCGACAGAGTGAGACTCCAACTCAAAAAAAAAAAAAAAAGAAGGGTTTTGGTTTTTATTTAGAAGTTTGAAATGTTATATGATCAGAAATATGCTGTAGAAACTTATCAATAAGCCTATGGTAAAACTGATTTTGTTATATGTCATTTCACTTCCAGTCGTAGTTTTCAAGAACCTACTGATGATGTCAAGTGAGAACTTACTGTACAAGGGTTCCCTCTATCCATGTCCTCAGCATCATTTGTTATCTTCTGGCTTTTTGTTAATAGTGATTCTAACATGTATAAGATAATTTTCCTTTCCCAAATGATTAGTTATATTGAGCACCTTTTTATATACCTGTTGGCCACTTGTATATCTTCCTCGAAAAATATCTATCAGGTCCCTTGTTCATCTTTTACTTGGGACACTTGTTTTTGCTGTTGAGTTGTATGAACTCCTTATCTGTTTTGGCTATTAACCCCTTACCCGACATATGGCTTGCAGATACTTCCTCCCATTCCATCGGCTGCCTTTTCGTTCCATGTCCTTTGCCATGCAGCAACTTTATACTTTGATACAGTCTTACTTTTTGTTGTTGTCTGTGCTTTCAGGGTCACATCCAAAACATCCATCACTGCCACGACCCATGTTATGGAACTTTTCTCCTGTTTTCTTCTGGGGTTTTAAGGTTCTAGGTCTTCCAGTTAAATCTTTCATCAATTTTCAGCTGATTTTAGTGTATGTTATACAATAAGGATCCTATTTCTTTTTTCTTTTTTTTGCATGTGGATATCCAGTTTTTCCATTTATTGAAGAGATTATCCTTTCCCCACTGTGTATTCTTGGCACCTTTGTCAAAGATTAGTTGACTATACATGTGTGGGTTTATTTCTGGGCTTTCTGTTCCATTGGTCTATATGTCTGTTTTTTTTTTGCCAGTACCACATATTGTTTTCATTACTATAGCTTTGTAATATAATTTGAAGTCAGATTATATGATACTTCTAGCTTTTTTGTTGTTGTTGTTGTTTATTGCTGTAGTTATTCAGGCTCTTTCATGGTTCCATAGAACTTTAGGATTTTTTTCTATTTCTGTGAAAAATGCCATAGGAATTTTGATGGGGGGGTTGGCACTAAATCTGTAGATCTCTTTGCACAGTATGGACATTTTGGCAATATTGATTCTACTGGGCAGATTCTTTGAGTGGTTTGATGTGAACACATTCTTGCCCTTTCCAGACCTGGGCCTCAGAGATCTTGTTCAGTGAGGCAAGAGTCTCACTTTTTCTCTCTCCGCTTGATTCGCTGGCTCCTCTTAAAGGAGTTTTCCTCCTGGCCAGGAGATGGGGAGCACCTTCTGTGTTGTGCCAGGCCACAGCAGGTGGCAGCCTTCTTGTGATCCTACTTTCCCTGGATACATGGCCTGTCCTCTTTGCTGAGGTGAGAAGGCAAACAACCTGGGAAATGAGCAGGCATGTCCTTGATGCCAAGTAGATTGCCCACATGGTAGGAGGGCAGTAGCCCTGTTTAATCACTTGGAGAAAAGCACTGACGTGGGGAGATACTAAATGAGTATGTTGGCCCAGGATCAGTTCCAGACATTTCAGTTGACGCGGGGAGATGCTAAGTGGGCATGTCGGCCCAGGACCAGTTCCAGACCACATTTCAGTTGATGTGGGGAGATGATGAGTGGGCATGTTGGCCCCAGGACCAGTTCCAGATCACGTTTCAGTTGACGCGGGGACATGATGAGTGGGCATGTCAGTCCCAGGACCAGTTCCAGACACCTCAAGCATCTGAGGGCTCTGCACTGAATTTCCATGTTTGTAAGAAAATAAAGGTGCTGTCCCTTGAGTTCTCTGGAGACTCTACACTGTCTGAAGGGTTACAGAAGGAGTATAGCAGAATGGTAAGCCCTCTGCACAGTAGTGAAATCATGGGCTCTAGACTCTTCTACTTCTTCCTAACTGTGTCACATGGGCAAGAACTTTCACCTCTGAGTCAGTTTCCTCATCTATAAAATGGATAACATAAGCCGGGCTCAGTGGCTCAGCCTGTAATCCCACGCCTTTGGGAGGCTGAGGTGAGTGGATTGTCTGAACCCGCGGGTTTGAGACCCACCTGGGCAACTTGGCGAGACCTCATCTCTACAATATAGCAGCAAATTAGCCAGGCGTGGTAGCACATGTGTGTAGTTCCAGCTACTTGGAAGGCTAAGGTGGAAGGATTGCTTGAGCCTAGCAGGTCGAGGCTTTGGTGGCTGTCAGCGTGCCACTGCATGCCAGCCTAAGTAACAGAGTAAGACTCTGACTCAAAAAAAAAAAAAAAAAATAGATGAGGAAGCTGATGCTAGCAAGTGTGAAGTGACTTGTCCAAGGCCACTGTCCTCTCTGCTTTACTGAATGCCTCTGCCCCCCCATCACCTCCACTTTCCTCTGCAAGGAGGCCATCTTCTCTCAAGATTTAGCTCTGTCCTCTGCTTTCTTGAAGGCCTGAGGAAGGGGAAGCACAGGCCCTGAGAAGAACGGCGACAAGGATGGACCAGGGAGTGTGCGGAACTCCACCCAGTCCATTTCCTAGCTGGAGGAAGGCAGTCTCCTTCCTCGGCAGGACCCATGCTCTCTCCTGCTGAAGACCCTCCGATGACTTGCCATGCAAAGCCATAAGGGTAAAGCCCAGGCTCACTCACGGCTCCTTGAGACTCCACCCCAGCCGGGGCCATCCTCTGCATTGCATATGGCCCACAGAATTCCTTTCGGGAATCCATCCTATGCATTGCACATGGCCCATGGAATTCCTTTCGGTTCCCCAGGAATGTGTGTCCTCACTAGCCTCCAGGCCTCACTGTGCTGCTCCCAAGCCTGGCAGCCTCTTCTTCTCCAGGTCATCTCCCGCACACCTTTCAGACCTCAGTACCCGCTGCCCACCATCTCTCTGGACCGACTGAAGACGACTTCCTGAGGGCAAGGACTGTGTCTGACACTTCTGCTGTGGTTCCAGTGTCCAATTCATAGAAAATGCTCCATCAATACTTGCTGAATAAATGTACAAATGAAGAGAACTTTTCCTGGCTGAGGCAGGAGTCTAGTCTGAGTTGTGCCAGACACAGCTGTACTGCTCCCCAGGTGGTGCTAAAGACAGAGCAAATAAGGCTTTCTCCTTCCTCGTGCAGTTGTCAGATCATCCCCATGCCATCCTTAGTTTATGAAGAACATGTGCACAGTGGCTTCAGCAAGCTCTTCAGAGAGAACTCATCCTAAGCTCTTTAGCCTATTTGTGAAAATTCAAGCTAAGGAAAAGACCTGGATGGGTGTGGCTCAGTCCCGTAAGTTTGGTTTTCAATTCTGATACCCTTTACAATCACATCTATGGATGTCTGGATGACGAGAAGATCTCTGTGGACTCCCAACTTGACAATTCAAAAACGTTCACCAGATGTGCTGATAAATGCTAGTGCCTTAGGCTAAAAGTCAATTATTATGTTACCTTGGATTTAAAATTACTAACTTATGCCAGAACACTGACCCAGGGTGGCCATACTTCCAGGCAGGCCACTCATGCTCTGGGAAGTACAATTTGTTCCCCACGGGGAGGATCGCCCTCCCCACCAGACTACTGGGCCATGCCTGCTTCTTTGGGCTAGGTATGCTTGCTTTTGCTCCTCTATCACAGCATTAATGTGAAAATTCCCATAGTGTGCTCTTGTCTTTGAGAAAGCCTTTACAACAAACACTTGCTGAATAGAAAAGCTGGCACCATGCCCAAGTTGCTAATAATTCCTGTATAGGACTCTGTCTGCTTAGGTAAATGGTTGAGGAAATCCATCCTCTCTTAAGCCACCAGAGGTAAACTGTCTTTCTGATGCTATAAGAAACGGCCCAAAATGGAATCACAATTGTGAAATTGCAGCATCATGTTCTATAACTTCTGAAAAGAATCTTCCTGTCTTTTTCTCATGGGGCCAAAATTTCCCTCTAATTTCATTTGGAACCTATTTATTTTTTTCTTTAACCAGAAATAAAGATAGTTAAGCAAACATCTGTGATGCTTTGGTAGCATGGTATGAACAGCATGGCTACCCACCTGGTTTAATTTCTTCTTCCTTCTTGCATCTCTTCAGATTTTCCACTGTTGACTAATCAATATGGAAATTCTAAGGAACGAGAAAAAAAAGCAAAAATTAGAGTCAGACATACTCTGGAACAGTAAACTGAAACAATCTTTAGGAAAACAAGTGAACAATATTTTCTTTTTTGAGTTGGAGGTCTCACTCTGTCTCTCAGCCAATCCTTCCACCGCAGCCTTCCAAGTAGCAGGAACTACAGGCACCTGCCAGCAGCCCAGATAATTTTAAATTTATTGTAGAGATAAAGTGTTGCCAAATTGTCCAAGTTGGTCTTGAACCCCTGGGCTCAGGCAATCCTCTCCCCTCCACTTCCCAAAGTGTTGGGATTACAGGTGTGAGCCACCACACTCGGTTAACAATGTCTATTAACATATTAAATGTACACATCCCTTGGGGTCAGCCAAATGTCCAGGTTTTTATACTATAGATACATTTATATAATTAAAAAGATCAATGACACATATCGTGCAGTAGCAAAACAAAGAGAGAAATGACTTAAATGTCTGTTAATAGAAAAAGAGGCTGGGTGTGATGGTTCATGCCTATAATCCCAGCACTGTGGGAAGCCTAGGGAGGAAGACTGTTTGAGCCTAGGAGTTTGAGACCAGGTTAGGCAACACAACAAACCCCTCTTTTTTTTTTTTGGGTTGGAGTCTCACTCTGTGGCTCTGACCGGAGTGCAGTGGCCGCTCCCGGCCACCGCAGCCTCGACCTGCTGGGCTCTGGCGATCCTTCCACCTCAGCCTTCCGAGTAGCCGGAATTACAGGCATGTGCTACCACGCCCGGCTGATTTTTTGATTTATTGTAGAGATGA